GAACGGAAAGCAACAGCGCCTATGTGTGGCATGGAAAAGTTCAGTTATCGAATGCCAATTAGTGCAGAAGATTGCGAAGTTTTTAAGATGCACAACAGCTTAAATATAGTGTTCGCAGAGACAAAAGCAGAAGATACAATGAACGCACCAAGACAGAATCGCTGCAAGAGCAATTGGGTATAACAACAACACAATAGAGACGTGCATGGATGGACATAATTCAGCAAAAACGGAGGCAGTCACATGCTTTTCTTGTAGGTATGACATCAAGATGTTTTAAGGTCCTGCGTCCAAGCTGACACAAGCCCAGTGGTTTTGCCTGAAGAAATTTGCAGATCCACATTATGATGCAGATGCTCCTCATCTGTCTTGATACTAGCTATTGACGGTACACGGCACTTTGTTGCACAACTTGTAAACTGTAAAGACTCAATTCCGGCATGTGCGTGTGGGAAATTCAGTTTGATAAAACTGCTGCTACAAACGTATGTAGAAGCTGAAACAGTGCAAATCGCTCGCTACACTGCGTTGCTTATTACATTTTCGAAGTAAAGTGTAGCGACCACGACTACAACATGACTGCGACCGTACACTTCAACCTAGCAAATAGCCAATCCATGAGGAAACCCTTGGCCCAGCTTGGGATGACATACCACCGTACATAAGGTCATAGGCTTTTCAGGGGTTTGAGCCGGGAATTTAGGTACTTCTGCTTTGTTTTCAGGACGTAGTAGTGACAGTGGGGGGAGATATAGGTGGGAGAGCAGAGGGGTGGTAGAGGAGTAATGGGTCATTGGGTTGGCCGCTGGTATTTTTGGTTTAAAGTGGGCATACCCTAAACCCTAAACCCAGCGCTAACGTCTGTTTAAATCCCTGGATTTCTGGTCTGTAGCCAAGGATATTGCAGCCCTGAAGTCTGAAGCCATAAACTCTAAGTCGTTAAAAGTTATACTTCTTAAAGGTTCATGGGACTTAGAAGCTAGGGTTACAAATAAGGTAACTATACTTATACTTTCTTATAACCCCAATTAAGGTAGTTGCTTGTAACTGTGTTTGTTGAGTCTCAGGAACCTCCAAGTACTTGGAGACTCAGAGAGGGCCTCGCGTTTGCAAATAGGGCTAGAGCCAAGATCACCGGAAGCACGATGCTGACAACCGCTGTTGAACTTAACGTAGCTATTCACTCCCCTGACCCTAGCTACGATGCTTCGAAACCCAGAGACTCCAATATCCCTCAATTAAGGAACATACCTTAAATCATATTAAGGATCCTACTATAATTTAAGGAAGATTCCTTAATTAAGGGATGTTGGAGTCTCTGGGAACCCCTGCTTGTCCCATTTTGCATAAGCTACCGGACAAGTCCCCTGAGACTTCATCCAGGCGCACGCCGGCAACACCATCTCAGTCGTCAACGCCCGGAAGCCTGGGTACGAGGGGCCCAGCGTTGAGGGCTAGGGTCTCGGGGTCTTACTCTTCAGTCTACGGTTTAGGGTTCAGGGGTTGTGAGTTTGGGGTTTACAGTTTACGGTTTAGGGGTGCTTGTTCAGTTCAGGCTTTATAGGTTTCACTGCTCAGCGTTCAGGGCTGAGGCCGTGGGAGGATGTAGGATTCGTTTCAGGTTTAGGCTGTAACGGCTCGTGTTGTTTTCGTTCTGTGGGGGTTGTGTGGCTGCAGCTCAAGTGCCACTAGTACCAGACCCTAAACCCTAAACCCTAAACCCTCGTCAAGCTTGGCAGCGTATGCCTTTCTTCGCTTTTTGAAGCGTGCGCTTCGCCGGATGGAGTTGATGAACCCAGAGACTCCAATATCCCTTAATTAAGGAATATACCTTAAAATATAGGGGTCTTAGCAAAATGATATAAGGTATATTCCTTAATTAAGGGGTATTGGGTTCTCTGGGAAACTCGAGGCACGTGCCGCTGAGGCGCGGGGCCACCCGCTTCATTGAGCTAGCTTGGTGAGGCTGAGGGTGTGCTGGGACTTGAGTGTTCGAGATCTGCCACGGTTCTGAGCAAGCCAAGGCTTGCTATTATATTGTGTAATGAACGCAGGGCCTTGATAAAATTGGAGTAGTAAGGCTCTCAATGTAGGGGCCTTAATAACTAGAATGGTGTTTTGGGGTATATTATACTATAATTATAATAAGGACCCCACCCCCAAACAAATTGTATAGATAATTATCTATAGGCGTCTATATTATCGTAAACGTCCCCAGCCCGAGGCTTTCAGCGCTGTCTTCAACGTGAACCTCACCTTGCTGGCACAGACCTTCTCGACACGAGGCTGGGTTTAGGGTTGAAGGGTTTGGGCGGGGCTAGGGCTGCCGGCTTTAGGGGTTTGGGGCTTTAGGGTTTACGGCTTTGGGGTTTAGGGCTTTGGGGCTTTAGGGTTTACGGCTTTGGGGCTTTTGGGGCTTTAGGGTTTAGGGCTTTTGGGGCTTTAGGGTTTAGGGCTTTTGGGCTTTAGGGGCTTTGGGGTTTAGGGCGGTCGTAGGAGGCTTGCATATTTACAGGATCATGGGGCGTAGTAATAACTTGAGGGTTAGGTTAAATACGAATTGAGTCCCGTGATCCTCCAAGTGGGTTTTATGGAGATGCCACTCGATCTTTGAAGGGTTGAACTTGCGGCTCCTGTGGATTCGGCGCAAGATGTTATGCTGCTTTGGGGTTGATTTGAGGTGCCTTAGTTGCTTAGTTAAGGTTAAGTTACTCAGTCTATACTCGTTTATCACAGGGTATTGGTTAGGGGTTTAGGGTCGAGGGGTTAGAGACTGGCAACAAAGTAGGTAACCCTTAAATTTTGACAATCAAGCAATTTACCCTTTTTGGCCAGGGTACTCAGCAACTAAGTCAACCCCTAAACCCTACACCTTCAAGCCTTAAACCCGAAGCTCCAACTTAGGGTCTAGGGTTTTGAGGGTTTAGGGTAAGTCATGACCATCAAAACCCAAAGTGGTGAAACCGTCAAACCTACATTACAAACCCCTCCAGAACCCCAGCACCCTATCGCCTGACTGTTATCATCTTACCCAGCAGACCGCCGCATGTGGCTCTCAGGTATCGACTTTCAGGCTTTCCTGTCCTGGACTCTTTGTGGCTTTGAGAATTTAGGGCTTAGGGTGTTTTTGTCGTGCTTCTAGGGCTGTAGGGTCGGGTTTTGGACTTTTGACTTGGGTTTCGGGCTCTCGGATTCAGGCTGATGTGTGTCTTAGGTTTTAGTTTTTGTTGTGGCCGGTTTCGTGCTGTAGGTTTTTTAGGGTTTGGGCTGGACTCTTCGGTCTTTTGAGGGCTGACAAGGTTACTCATAAGGGGATCGTATCGGATGTGCGAAGGTTGGCGTTGCAGGAGCGTTTGTAGTTGCGGGGTTCTGCTGCATCGAGACATCCAGACTTTGAAGACAGAGCGTAAATGCGAGTCTTGGATTTGGGGGACTTTTGGCCCAAGGCTCTAATTTAAATGACTCACTGACCATAAGGGGTCTAAAGTCTCGAAACACTACCTACTCGGAGACACCCGGAGTCTTATTAGGACAATTGTCAACAAATTGATATCTTGAGACTACAGCGAGGGTAAGACCAAGAAAGTAGAGCTACAGCGGTGTAGCAGGAGGAGGAGGGAATTGGTGCTGGCCTTGGATTTTTAGACCCTAAACCCTAAACCCTGAACCTTAGACCCTAAACCCTAAACCCTTAGACCCTAAACCCTAAACCCTGAACCTGAACCTTAGACCCTAAACCCTTAGACCCTAAACCCTGAACCTCAGAAACCCTTAGACCCTAAACCCTGAACCCTGAACCTTTGACCCTAAACCCTTAGACCCTAAACCCTAAACCCTGAATCTTTGACCCTAAACCTTAAACCCTGTACCTTTGACCCTAAGCCCTGAACCCTTAGACCCTAAACCCTAAACCCTAAACCCCAAACCCCCTAAACATCCTTAGGGCTTCGGGCTTCGGTTCTGCAGGGTCTTCGGGTTTCGGGGATTTGACACCCCGGGTCGGCTTGGGGGCCGACCTGCCGGCAGAGGGTTTAGGGCTTCCGGGCCCTAAACCCTAAACCCTAAACCCTAAACCCTAAACCCTAAACCCTAAAGCCTAAGCCCTAAACCCTCATCAAACCCTAAACCCAAAACCCTAAACCCTATAGGCCCTAAACCCTAAGCCCTAAACCCTAAACTGTAGGCTTCAGGGTTGAGCGTCCTCTGGGTCCCTTGTTACAAGCCCCTTAACCCCGAACCTCAAAACCCTCAACCTCAAATGTTGGAACCCTCAGCCCTAAACCCTGAAAGAAAGCCGACACAAGCTTAAAAAGCAAATCCCTACATCCTAAAGCCTTGAAAGACAAGACCCCAACCCTAAACCCTAAACCCTAAACCCCGTTAGCTCCATGATCGTCTCGGCTTCCAGCACTCCCAGTCTGGGTTTCACTTAGACCAGCCTACATGACAGCTTCTTGAAAATCAGCGATCCTTATCTTAGGGATCCCACCATATAGGGTGTTTGTAATTCTTATTCTTCTGATAAATCCCAGATGCAAGACCAACCCTCGAGCTTGTAACGCACTCGCAGTCCCAGATTGCCAGACCCGAAGCCTATGACCGTTTGACAGTTTTGAAGGTTGCGGGCCGAGGGTATAGATGTCAAGCCCAATTAGGGTAAACCCTAGACCCTAAACCCTCAACCCTAACTGCGCTAAACTTAACCCGTGCTCGACCTGGAGCCGGTTCCACACGATGTTAGGATCGCAGCGACTGACGCGAATCCCAACTAGGAGGACACTCCTAAGACATACCAACACCGCTGTTGATCATGCAAGCACTCTACAAGCCCGTCCGTCCCAAGTGGAATCGAACAAGGAGAACTCTGCAAACTGAAATCCCCTAAACCCTAAACCTTAGACCCTGAACCCTACACCCTTAACCCTAAGCCAAGCACAAACAGATCCCAGAGTGCAAGACCAATCTGCCCGATACGGCATGGACAGCGGCCTGCAGCTGGAATGCCGAAGCGCCGAAGCCTCAGATGATGCGGGCGTTGGGTTAAGTAGCGTCAGGGCTTCCAGCTGTGCAGTACTTGTGAGGGTTTAGGGCTCAGGGTTTATGTTTAGGGTTTAGGGGGTGCAGTACTTATGAATGATGATTGAGTTTCAAGCACGAAGACACAAGAAACACCTGATTACATCCTCGATTAGGACACGTCCTACTGAGCCTGTGACAAGCCGAGCTACAACGCTAAACCTTGAATCCATGAACCCTGAAGCAGGAGTTTAGGGTTCAGCGTTCCTGCACCTACATGCCAAAAAAATCCTTAGTGGTGCAGCTGTCATACATGAAGGTTCGTGGGACTTATAATAATTAAGTACAGTTACAAGTACCTTGATTGGGTTATAGGTCGTTGTACGTATAGTTACCTTGCTTATAAACCTAGTTACGAAGCCCCATGAACCTTTAGAAATGTAGGGGCCTTAATATAATTAGAAAAGGGTTTGGGGAAATATTTTATTTCTATTATTATTATCATTATTATAAGGAGCCCCCAAAACCCTATTCTAATTATTAAGGCCCCTGCATTACTGATGCTGCGTCGTCTTTAAGTTAGCCACGAAGAGACCGTGCATCTCTGGACCCAGAACTCCCAAATAGGGTTCAGGATTTAGGGTTTTGGGTTCAGGGTTTAGGGTCCAGGGTGTAGGGTTTCGGGTTTGGGTTTAGGGTTCATGGTTTAGGGATTGACAGTCGCGCAGGATTTTGGGATTGTTTAAGCCGGTTCCTAAACCAACCCGGCAACGTAGAACCTAGCTCTACGCTCTTAAAACCCTACAGCTTCCCAATCCGGAAAACCCTAAATCCTATACCCACTGAAACCCTAAACCCGAAACCCTAAACCCTAAACCCTAAACCCTAAACCGGCAAGAAGAGCCAGCCCGATGATGAGAGCATCCCGTCTGCTTGTTTTCTTTTCGGGGATGTCTATACGTGGAGGTCTGAATGAAACATGATCTACTCATGCTCGCTGTGCATTACAATCCGCACTCTCCTCATCATTCAGATTCCGAGCTTATGCTTCAGGCCCTCTGTTTGGTTAGTTTGCCTATCCGGTGCCTGCTTCACGGAAGTTGGGTGAGCTTGCTGCAACGACAGGTGGGTGTAGGGTTTAGGGTTTGGGGGGGTTAGGGTGGATACGCCAGGAGACCTACCAGGCTTTCCTGGCTGTTGTCGCTCAAGCTCCTCAAGCTCATCCCAGAGCTTGTGCCCCAAAACCCCAAAACCTTATGAAGCATAACTCTAAAACCTGAAGTATAAACCCTAAGCCATGCACTCTAGACACTACCAGCAACTGTATCCTCAACCGCTGCCCCTGTGCCTGGTCACACTGATATCTAGGAGCAGCAACCCCCCTAGAATCCCGAATATGACTAAACTAGGACCCTTCGCGGCACGCTGGAAAGGGTCCTTTTCGAAGTTTTGAGGCCGTTCTACTACTTAACTACTAAACCACCTTAAGCCCTATAGGCCCTAAGACCCTAAACCTCAAAACTAAACCTAAACCCTAAAACCTGAAACCCTAAACCCTAAACCCCTGAAGCCCGAAAATCCTACCTTTGAGGTACGCGAGCTTCATGGAGCTTCCTGGGGCCAGGAAGGGGTGGCGGGGCTTGGGGTTATGGAGCTTACGGGTTAATGTAGGAGCCTTGATAATTAAACTAGGGTGTTCGGGGGTGGATTATTCTAATAATATAGTAAAAAACACCCAAAATGGTGTGGGTAATTATTTCGGCCCCTATATTATGGATTCTGTGAGAGTTCTGAGTTTGCTGAAGGAATTATTGGCCAATCAAAGGGGTTTGAGGTTGTAGGGCTCGCTTTTAGGGATGTTTAGGGTTCAAGGTTCAGACTTTAGGGCAGTGTAGACCCCTGTTGAACAAGCCCCTTGTATTTGGGGCTCGAAAGAATCTTAGGTTTCCCATTACAATCCCGGTCAAAAAGGAGTGGCCTTATCAATCAAAACTGTCCCTCTACGTTAGTATAGTTTAGGATGTTTTCACAAGAAGAGAATCCTGCGTGCTTTCGGATTGCTGTCTATAAAGCTTCCACAGTGCTACAAGCCTTTTTTGACATGTCGACAGGTTGCTTAAGTAGGTGTTTTTCGAGACGCAGAGTTGCAGTGTGTGCTTCCCCGACTGTAAGTCGGGTTCTACTGGGCCTTCAGCAAAATAGCCAATGTGCCAATATAGGGGCCTTTATAAGTTCAACAGGGTTTGGGGTGTATTACATTATAGTTACCATATGGAACACCCTAAACCTTATTCTAGTTATTCTGGCCCCTGTGTTGGGCGTTTTTGCGTGACTGCAGCCCTTGAGACTGACACAAGCCTTTGCAAACCATGCAGAAACCCTGCAGTGCGCTCTGCGCAAAGTCTTCAAGCGCCCCAAAAAGCCGATATCCAAGAACCCTAAACCCTACACCCTAAACCCTGAAACTCTACAAACCCTTGAGGCTCTATAGAACCATCGGCAATGAGTATCGTGAACAATAAGCTTTCGAGCAGGAGTGGCAGCGATTTGGCAGCTGCTGGTTCCAGTTGCTGTAGGCCGGAACGTAGCGTGAAGCCTTACGTGCTAAACCCGGAAACCCTGAACCCTACATCCCTAAACTCTAAACCCTAAACGCTTAAACCCTGACCCCTAAACCCCTTCCCGAAACCCCTAAACCCCGAAACCCTCAACCCCTAGATTTTAACTCGGGGTGGAGGGATTTCAGCGCGAAGACTTTTATTCAGGGCTTTGCTTCCACGGAGGCCTTCGGGGATCGAGGGGCTCCTTTCCTAGATAAATACTCGTGCCCGGAAACAACCAGTTTGAACATGGGTTTAGAGTTTAGGGTTTAAATGTCTTCGATGGCTCATGATCGTAATTATCTTATGGTACACCCCGAAACCAAATTCCAACCAATTAATAGTATTGAGATGGTTTTTGCTTTGCGGTATACTGGTATACGCCATTTTGGACCAGGGGTCCGATTCCGTTCAACCGTGTTGGTCTAGAGTTTTGGATTTAGGGTTTATAGGGTTTAGAGTTTTGGGTTTAGGGTTTAGAGATTGGGATTTAGGGTTTAGAGATTGGGATTTAGGGTTTAGGGTTTAGAGTTTTGGATTTAGGGCTTTGAGTTTTAGAGTTTTGGATTTAGGGTTGAGGGTTTAGAGTTTTGGATTTAGGGT